CACAATCCTTCTCCCGTGTCCCAGAATCCCCCTATCCCGTGTCCCACAATCCTCCTCCCGTGTCCCACAATCCCCGTCCCGCGTCCCACAATCCTTCTCCCGCGTCCCGGAATCCCCCTATCCCGTGTCCCACAATCCCTGTCCCACGTCCCACAATCCCCCTGTCCCGCGTCCCACTATCCCCGTCCCGCGTCCCACAATCCCCCTGTCCCGTGACCCACAATCCCCCTATCCCGCGTCCCACAATCCCCCTATCCCGCGTCCCACAATCCCCCTGTCCCCTGTCCCACAATCCTCCTCCCGCGTCCCACAATCCCCTTCTCCCGCGTCCCACAATCCCCTTCTCCCGTGTTCCCACAAGCCCCTTCTTCCGCGTCCCACAAGCCCCTTCTCCCGCGTCCCACAAGCCCCTTCTCCCGTGTCCCACAATCCCTTTCCTGGACAGTCAGATGCTTGGGTTACCAGACCTGCTGGGCAGCTCGGGGGGAATCTCGTTAATGGTCTTGGAATAAGAGGTTGACTGCAGGTTTTTTCTTAGGAGCAAAACCAACAGCGCTACACTGTGGCTGGGAGATGCCCAGACTCACGCCGAGCCTTTGTCAAGTCTGTAGAAAAGCCTCCTGCTCCTTAAACACCGCACGGTCCCCCCCCACGTGACAGCTTCCCCTCCTTCCACGTGGCAGAGGGCGACCTGTCTGGGCTCCTGTCCCCCGTCCCTTGTTTACAAATCAAGACCCGTTCTCTGTGTATGGAGCTTAATGAGGCCTGGGGGCCCGTCCTGGGCTTATGTTAGGAGTTTATGATAGAAATAATGAAAATTAGATTTTCTCCAGTTCTCACCCCATACCTGGCGGGTGTGTGTCGGGGGAGGGTGCTGCTCAGCGCGGCACAGCAGGGCGGCGTGGGTGGTCACGTGGATGGCCGGGGTGTCCGCACGGAGGCATGTTGGTCTCCGGGCCCTGCGTAGGGCGCCCCCGGCCCCGTGTAGGGCGAGCGCGGTGGGATCGGACTGCAGAGCTCTCTGAACGGGAGAAAGGCCCCTGGGCTGCACGTGGCCTTGTGCCAGGGTCTGCTTTCAGAGCTTCATCTCACAAATTACTGAGTTCCACCCCAAACCAGCATTTTAGAGAAGCAGAGGCGTGGCTTCGGCACCACGGAGGCTTCATTCAGTCTAGTAAACTCACCCCTGGTGTTTGCGTTTCAGCGCCCGCGGTCGTGCCCAAGATGACAGCGGAGACGCTGAAGCACAAGATCAACCCTTCGGCTGGAGAGACCTTCCCGCAGGCCGTCGACGTCCTGCTGTACACGCCAGGTGCGCGGTGGTCCTTGCCTGTCATGCTGCTGCGAGGACAGCCAACCTAGTCTTGCATTCAGGTCAGCCAGGCAGCAATGCAGGTGAATGGGACCATGTGGGCTCCTCCTCTTAGAGGTGGAACCATTGCAGGCGCCCTGTGACCCTCTGTGATGTCACCTCGCGGAGGCCAGAGCCTAGAGGCCTGGATGGAGAAGGGGCATGCTTCACGTGGGTCCCACTCCAGAGACGTCCCTCAGTCATGTGGCAGTTTATGGAGCACAGGCGCTCACATCCTCTCCTTGTGCAGTTAATCTGGTCCTGTTGTCTTGTCACAAAATGACCACACCTCAGTCCCACTGGGCGCACACTGGGCCCAGGCACTGCTCAGTGTCTCAGTGCTAACCTCCCTCCTTCCGGCCCATCCCTGGTGCCCACAGCTCCTCCCTTCCTCCAAAACCTGTCGTCTAATGAGGTATCAGATACCATCTGGATCCTGGCTCGGTGGAGCCACCCAGCTGTACAAGCTCCTGACTCTTGTCTGTGTGGCTCTCACTTCCTAAGTTCCAAGAGGGCCTGGGGATTCTGGGCCCCCAGCACAGCACCTGGCGCCTCCCAGGTACCCAGGCAGTGCCCATGTTGATGCAGCGAAGGGTTTTCCTTGACACATTCTTGGGTGGTTTTTCTCTTCAGGACATCTTGACCCGGCGGAGAGAGTTGGAGATGCCCACCCTAAGCTGTGGTGTGCCCTGCACGGGGGCAAAGTGATTGTGTTTGATGCTTCATCTTGGAGCATCCACCAACATTGTGTCCGTGTGGGGTCCTCCAAGCTGGTGAGTATGGGCATGTCAAGTGGGGACATGTTCAGTCAGCTTCCAGGTCACACTAGACAAGGCCCCGGGACACCCCACAGCACCCTCCACCTGAAATAGGGGGCTGTTGTGTCTACCTCGAGTTTTTAAATTAACTCTAAGCTTGTTCTAGCCTTTACCTAAATGTTCTCATTTAAATGAGCAGATAATGGCTTTAATCACTCTGAAATCTACGCCTCAGTGTGTATCCTCCACTCACCTAAAGTGGGCACTTGTAGTTGCTTTAACATATTTGGGAATAAAAACTAAGAATAATTTAAATCAAGTTCACAGGAAGCCTTAATTCTTTGAGCTTATAGACTGATTACTTTTAAAAAATTAATTCCTGCACCTGCCCCCATCACACACACAGATATCCAAGGGCAGGTTTCAGACCCATAGTCTGCAGACCTATAGAGAACCCAGTTCCTGCTTTCCAGATGCCTGGGCCTCGAGCTGGCCTTTGAAAGTCATTCCGTACATTCCACACAGCAAGACAGCTACCCACACACACCAGGGCCTTAAGGTGGGCCCCTCTCAGACCCAAAGAAAAGGTGCTGCTACCACCCCCCTGATGAAAAGGAACAGGATCCAAGATACAGAAGATGGAAATGTTTATAAAAGTCTAATAATAATGCTGTAGCCCAGACAGTGAAGCAAGGAGAAATTAAGGAAGTCCTTCTGATTCTAAATTTAATTTTTTCATTCTTAGTTACAAGCATTTCAAAGATTTTTTTTTTTTAATATATCTTTATTGATTTCTGAGAGAGGGAAACATCAATGATGAGAGTCATTGGTTGGCTGCCTCCTGCACACCCCCGACTGGGGATCGAGCCTGCAACCAGGGCATGTGCCCTGACCAGGAATTGAAGCCTCCACCTTTTGGTCCACCAGCCAACACCCTTTTAACTGTTACGGTTTTGGGCTGGTGATGCAGGCTGTGAACGATTTCATGACTAAAAGGAGAGATTTTACTTTCCCAGAGAAGGGAAAGGGCTGGTGCAGTGCTAATCAGTACAAGGTCAAGAAACAAAAGGGTCAGCCAGCTTTTAAACAGGTACTGTTGCTAGGTGACAAGGAAGGGAGGGTTTTGGGTTGTGTGTTGAAGTTGAGCAGATACCAGGGGCTGTACTGAAAAGTTAGTTTGTTTGCTTTCTAGGAGACAGTCCAGCAGGTGTCCTAGGGAGGTGTCTTATCTGCATTTTTCCCAGGTCCGTAAAACATGCTCAGAGCAGAAGTTGTGAAGAGGTCAAAGGAGGCCTGTTTGAAGGGGGTGGGGGGGCTTTCTACTAACTCAGGACTCCTTGGTGGGAATCAGCAGGAGGAGGGGATGCAACAATGTAGCCTTGAGAGGAGCTTATCCTCAGTTTGAGCAGAGGAGCCGTTAGAATCAGAGGAGCCCGCAATCTCGGGGCTTAATTAACAGGTGCTTCGCATAGATTGTGCACGGCCACAGCAAAGGAAAGGAAAGGCCTTTTTCTGGCATTATGCTAACCACTGAGCAAAACTAGCCAGGGCAGTTTTGTGCTTTTTATGGGTGATTTCTGCTGTTGAACATGGTCCCCAACTGTAGAGCTGAAGTACGTCTAGCGTTCCTACGAGCGAGAAGGCTGTTAGGCCAACTTTGCTCAGACACACGTTCCAGTGCTGTTGGCTGTGGGTTTGACGTTAACAAATCAATGGTTCATATAAAATATGCTGTGTGATGGGTTGAAAAAAATGTTACCAGAAGCTCGCAGGAACCTGACTGTATGTTCCCCAGGAGCGCTGGCTCTATATTCACGGATTTGGTGACATTTTACAAGGTAACACACTGCATAACAAAACCGTTCCAATTTTCCCGGGACACGCAGAACTGCATGGTGATGGTGGAGCACAGCCAACTGTGGGTCGGCTCGGAGGACTCTGTCATCTACATCATCAACATCCACAGCATGTCCTGCAACAAGCAGCTTACCGACCACCGCGCCAGCATCACGGGCTTGGTGGTGCAGGACGGGCCGGAGGCACCCAGGTACGCTGGGCTCCGCAGGAGGAGGTCTCGGGACCACTGTGGGCGATCATCTGCAGGGGCCAGACATGGCGAGGGAAGCAGGTCTGGGATGAGATGTTAGGTGATGTTCTTGTCCGTTTCTGGTCTTGGGTACAGAGAAGCACATCTCTTCTGCGGACTCGTTCCTTAGTTTCAGGGGTGCTATGTGTCCTTAGTCAGGCCCAGTTCAGGTGGACATAAGGTGCCATGCACTGCACTGGCCAGAGTCCACCCTCCCTGCAGCTGCCAATCATCAAGGCCTGGGCCAAGTGCTGAACTTGAGCTTGGGGAGTGCACGCGCTCTCCAGCCTCTGCTGTAGGGGCCGCATTTTAGTTCATGATCCTGTTTCGGTTCAGCTCACAAGCCCGCTTTTCCTGCTGAATGTTTTAACCGTGGCTTCTTGCTGTATGAATAGTGTTTGCGTGTCATTCTATCCCTGTTGTGGATGCTTTAATGGCAACTTTGTTCTTTTCTGGTTAAAATGTACAGTGTTTTTCAAGGCCAAAATGAAACGTGTTTATACCTCTAGCCAGGTGTATTCGTGCAGCGTGGACGGGACGGTCCTGGTGTGGAATGTGAGCACGCTGCGGGTGACCAGCAGGTTCCAGCTGCCGAGTGGTGGCCTTTTATCCATCGGACTGCATGGTGGCTGCCTGTGGTGCTGTAAGTCCTCCGCTGTCATGATGGGAGCCAACCCCCTACTCCAGGCAGAATGAGCGCTAAAGGCCTGTTTGCTTTACACATTTCCAATTTTCATTTTAAAAGTCCACTGTCTTTCAGAGCTCTGGTCCCTCCTCTGTGCTCCCTGCTTCCCCAGGCTGTGTTTACTCCACAGCTAAGGGACGCCTCTCGGCCTCTCCCCTCCTTACCTCTGCCCCTGTTGTAGTGTGGACACAGCCTACGTGTTCCCGGGAATGATCTCTGCTCCTCTGTGACCCTGTCCCCTGTGTGCAGCTGGAGGGCAAGCTGTGTGCACCCTCCACTCCCAGCACAGACCTGCATGGGAGTCTGGGGAGCTGACAGTCCCTTTGCCAGGGTTGTGACAGGGAGGTGCGGCCGATGTGCCTGTGGCGTGTTCTGCATTTCTGAGCATCTCAGAGTGCAGAAGCTGTCTGCTCGTGACATCTTCCCCGGCGTGTGCTGGGTAACACGGGTGATGGTCACTCACTCTGTACAGTTAACATCTGATAAAGTGCACAAAGCATCCGTCACATATAGTTGCCACCCCAGCTAGAAGCTTCTTGTGCCCCTTGCAGCAGCCCATGCCCAGGGATGCTTGTCCTGACTTGCTGTCTGGGACCCGATTCACCTATCCCTGAACTTTCTATACACGTGTCCCTTTTATCTGCTCTACACTGGCACCGTGATGTTGTTAGGACTCACCTGTGACGATCCAAGTGTGAGTAGCTGAGTACCTCACTGCAAATGCACCGCGTTGCTATCTGTTCTCCTGGCGTGGATTCGGGTTAGTCACTGTGTTCACCCATTTGAGAGACTGTCAGACTCCTTTCCAAAGCTGTGGCAGCATTTACATGTCCACCTGCAGCCTACAGGGTCCAGTTCCCCTTCCTCAAGGCTTGTTCCGTTTCTGTAGGAACCATCCCTGATGCAGTGACATCGGTGTCTCTTCATTGGCCGTCTGTTTGGATCTTTTGCCCAATGGTCTGTTCACTTTTAACGCTACTAATGATGTAACTGGAGGGAAGTCTGCCGTGGTCCTTCTTTTCCATTTTTCCTGTCTGTTCTTTTATGTCCCCTTCCTGCCTCCTTTTGGACTAAGTATCCTTTATATTCATTTAGTCTTTGTCTTTTCAGCTCTGCTTTTTCAGTGGCTGCTGTAAGGACTGCAGGGTGACCTTAACTGGCTCTATCTGCCTCTGTCACACCACCTCACGTACCGTGAGCGGCTCACAACAGGACACTAACTCCGCTTACCTCTTTCTGGCCCCCGTGGTGTTAAACGTGGGATTTGATTTCTGTGATTGTGTGATAAACCTCATATTTTTGAAACTTTTGCTTTAGTACCTGTAGTCAGAAAACCTGTGTCTGGGAGGTGGCTGGTGCCCTGTGGTTCAGGTAGTGACCTTCAGGTGCATCCAGGTTCAAATCCAGACTTTGTCCCGGGATGGTTGTCCAGCTGTTGGCGTCTGTGTTGTTGTTTGGGAAGTGAGATGGAAAACCACCTTCCACATGAGTGCTTAGGGCTGAGATGCCAGGGAAAACATCGGCCTCTGTGCTGGTGAGGGGCTAGCGACAGGAGCCCTGAAAGTGGCACTACACCCAGGCCCTAAGCTGGCTGGGTAAAAGGATAAGGGCAGGACAAGGTGTCAAAGGGGGATTGAGCACTGGGGCAGCAGAGGAGCGCCCCCATGGGGTCATATCTTGGACATAGCTTCCCAGATCCTTCTCCCGCCTCCCCGCCTGCAGCAGGGCCTCCCCGAGCTCTTGGCCCAGCCGCATCGGTTACCACCGGGCCGCAGCATTAGCACAGCTGAGAACAGTTAGGAAGAGCCTGGTGTGGTTTGATCCGCTGCTTGGTGCAAAGGAGGGGCCCTGAGGATCAGGGGACCACTGAGGGCCTCCGTCCAGGCCAGGCCTTCTTAAATAGTCTGCGTGGGTGATGGCCTACCTGGAGAAGAGGGCTCTGTAGGGGCTGGTTGTTGCTTGTTAGGCCTCAGGAAACACGTTACATGTGCCGAGAAGTAGGAGAGATGTGGCGGCTCTCGCTTTCTGTGAATGGAAACAGCTGCCGCATCCTCAGGGTGGCTGAGGACAGAGGGGTCACTTCTCTGTCAGGCTGACTCTCCGGGGACAGCAAGCCAGAGCAGCTGGCCATGCAGGTACGCCCTCTGCCTCAGGCTGGTGCTGTGAGGGTCTTCCCACGCCCCCAGATGGCGCTCCCCGAGGGCACAACTGTCTCCCTGATCTGCCATGCTGGGTGGCTCATGGCTTCACACCTGGGGGCAGGGGTGGGGCACATGCAATAAACGTGCACAGAAGTCTAGGCCTGTGGACTCCCACCACCCAGACCCTGCAGACAGTGGTCCCTCCTGCTCCTGGGCCTGGTGCTGATGGCCTGTGCCCTCATGACGTGCAAATGAATCACAGAAACAGGAAAGAAGCACCTAAGTACAGGCGTGTGTGTGGAGCAGGAGCTTCAAGGGGTGGGAAATCCCAAACCCCGCGGTGCCGCCTCTGCATCCTCTTGCCCTCTCCTGATGAAGCCTAGGAAGTGGGCACCAGAGTCCAGCGGGCTCCTCACAGTGAAAGTGGGTTGCAGCTCACGCATGTCCCTGTGAGCACCGTGGTGCGAGGGTGAGAGTGCCTTCTCCACACCGCAGTGAGGGTCCGGGCACAGGCTCCCCAGCCCAAGCCAGTGGAAGGGACCAGGGGCCCACAGTCCCTTCTTAGTAGTTTGAACCCAAAGCTTGAGATTCGCTCTGCCTCTCACCCCGGCTTTCCTTCTGCAGGGACAGGTACCAGTATCGTGGTGGTGAACGGCCGCCTCCATCAGGAACTGAAGATCCACGAGAACTTCGAGGAGAAGAGCACCTCCTTCGTGGCTTTCCAGCTCCTCCCCGAGGTACCTGGCAGCGTCTGTTGGTGCAACGCAGCCCGAGGGTGCCAGCGCACGTAGCTGCCAGCCCCTGCGTCATGGTTTCTGTTTCAGCAGGAGCAGCTGTGGGCGGCGTGCTTAGGGTGCAACATTTGCATCTGGGGCCTGAAGGACCTGGCCCAGCCCCCTGGGAGGATTCACCTGCCCGACTGCACCGAGATCAACTGCATGATCAGGGTGAAGAGGCAGGTAAGGTAGCTGCCCCTGCAGGGCCTGTGTGGGAAGGACATGGGTCTGGGCGAACCTTCCACGGGCATAGCAAGTAAAGCACTCACGGCACACGCATGCATGTGTACTGATGCCTGTTCCCCCGGCAGATCTGGGTGGGCGGCACAGGGCTGTCTCAGGGGAAATCCAAAGGGAAGATCTACGTGATCGATGCTGAGAGGAGGACGGTGGAGAAGGAGCTGGTGGCCCATGCGGACACCGTGAAGACCCTGTGCTCTGCAGAGGACAGATACGTGCTGAGTGGGTCCGGCAGGGAGGAGGGGAAGATCGCCATCTGGAAAGTCGAGTGAACGTGGTCAGTGTGCTGATTGGAGCTGTGCTCTGGGAGCAAGCGCCACGTGCCTTACGCCTGCTTTCCTTGCACTCCAGAGAAGGCGGGAGATGCCAGCCTAGTAGGCGCGTCCACTGCAAGTGCCTGTTCCGCCTGTTATGAGACCAAGGATCATGCACTTTCTCTCTCGGACTTTCCTGATTACACTGTACCAACAGTGTGTCCAGTTGGGGTGCTTCTTGGGCAGGCAGCTGGATCAACTCTGTGGTAACCTCTGCTGAGACACTCCCCCGTGTGTTGTCTAGAAAGTTCCAGAGTCCACGACCAGCACCGGAGCCAAGTCACACCTGACCTGCAGACTTGACGTTGCTCTCTGGTTTGCCGTTCCTGCACTTCACCCATTCACTCAATAAACACAGCCCCAGGCCTATGGGAGCCTTACGCGGACGTCCTGTTTCCAGCGAAGCTTGCGAGCAGGGGTATTTTAACGTGAGCGCTTTGTGCCTGCCGGGGGTGGGACGGGACACCACCACTGTGACGGCTGTCTGGACAGGGGTTGGGGCAGCTAAGGCAAACTCTGTTTTTAACTAATGCAGAATTTTTATAATGAAGGAACCTAGAGACTTTTTTCTACCACAGACCAAAGCTTCCTCTAAGTCAGCCTGGTGGCCTAGTTTCCCAGTAAAGTTGCTGCCACGCGCCCCGCAGTAGACACTAATGTACGTGCCACCACACTGGCGTCCTGCGTGCACATGGTACGTGGACGTGTAGACGGTGTATTATTATTTAACTCAAGACGATCTTATTAACTATAAATAACTAAATATTTGCGAAAAAGACCTTTTGCACATTTTTCCTTGGTTATTGCGGTTTCGTTCCCTGTAAGTCCAGCAGGAAGGTTTGGCATGTTTGCTGGGCATGGGACGCACACCTGCTGTCGCTGGGTGTGGGGCCGCCGGACCCTGGGCTCTGGTTTTCGGGACTCCATCCTCTGAGCAGCCTCTGAGGTGCGTGCCAGGCCCCCAGGACAGGGCCGCATGCCAGACGCACCTGAAGGGCCCCCAGGAGGGATTGCTTTGGCCAAGCCTCTGGCTTGGTCCATGGGACCCAAGCACTTAGGAAGGTCCTGAGCAGTGGCCGGCATTTTGGGGCATCCTGGGAAGTTCCCCCGGAGTCTGCTCACCAAGAATGTGCATTTCCGACTTCTCGGACGGCTCGGCCAGCAGCAGAGGGTAGAAGGTTGAATTCTGCTTTTGTAAACGTGGTAAGTTCCAGCAAAAGCCTATGAGAAATAAACATTATTTAATGCCATTCCACACATATCCAGGTATTTGCACCTTGTCGATAATAAACTTTGTTTACTAAACACTGACGTCCCCTCGCCTTTACCCACCGTGAACTGGCGGCAGAGATCTGTGAAGTGTTACAGGACCACTGGATTTGCGCTCTCTTCATCCTGAGCACTGAGCACGTGATTTTAATGCAGATTTTTCATTTCCTTTACTCTTGATGGTAATTTCCAAGATCTTATTTGCCAGTGGTTGCATTTAAAACAACTAATGCAGCCTGGCTGGTGTGGCTCAGCAGTTGAGCATCAACCTCTGACCCAGGAGATCGAGGTTCGATTCCTGGTCAGGGCACAGGCCCGGGTTTCGGGCTCGATCCCCCGTGGGGGGCGTGCAGGAGGCAGCCGATCAATGACTCTCTCGTCATTGGTGTTTCTCTCTCCCTTCCTCTGAAATTAATAAAAATATACAATAAATAAATAAAATAACCCAGGAAAACCAGAGGCTTTTAGGAAATGGTTGTTTATATAAGAGAGAAAAACTGGTGAACACTGAAGTTAAAAGGGGACTAATGGGGCTACAGTAGGTTCTGCACCCAAGTACGTGGACCATGGGGGGTTGAGATGGAAAGGGGCTGTGCCATTGTGTCTCCTCTGTGCTGTGGAGATCCCATGACGAACGGCCTGTCACAGGAGGGCACCAAAGTGAGCCGGACTCAGTAAACACACAAGGATGCCTTCCCTGCCTTGGCAGATCCTGAATTAAATTGGTACAAAAGTGTTTACCTTCAACTGGAAGCCAATCTGCTTTAACATAATTTAATACAAATTCAGCTGTGCGGCCGTATTTCAGACGCCCGGAGAGAGAGTTCGCTCGGTGTGTTGGCTCCACCACACCAGGGAGGCCTGCCCGCCCCCAGGGGTGCTGCACAGGTAAAGGTGATCACGTGGCAACCTTTCCACGATCTGTTCTCGGAAGAGGTGGTGGCAGGGCTACTCTCAAATGGCAGCCTTGGAATTAGATATTACTGCAACATCGGAGTTAAGAAGCGTGACTCTAGTTCGTCCTGGGAGAGTCCTCAGGGAGGGGAGGGGGTTCCTCTGTGTGGCTGGAGGCAAAGGTCTGCATTTCTCATGGCATTGCCATGG